TGGCGCGGGACGTGCGAGGTGAGGCGCGGCCGCCCGCCCGGGCCTCGGGCTCTCCCACGCCCCGGCCGGAGCCGGGCACTCCGGCCGCTGGACGCGCCCTCATCCTGTGCCGGGGCGGGCCGCCGAGGCCACGGGCACGCGGGGCTCCGCGAGGTCCTGGCGCCTTCGCGCGCGAAACCTTCTTGCAGCCACTGCCCTCGGGGCCTTCAGCCCAGACCCAAGGGGAATGCCCTCCACGCTCACAGCGTTGTCCATCCCGGCTCAGTGGCCCTGAAGGGCAGGTTCCAGCCGCCTCTGCGGCGGCAACGCTTTAAGGGCGTGGAGGCCCGGTCTTTGTGCCAGCAGCCGAGGCTGGTGCGCGAACAGCCCACCTCGGAACGACCTGTCTTTCTCCTGTGGAGCAGCTGGTGGCTTTGAACTGCTGACCACCACTCACCTGACTGCCACAAGGACGTCAGGAAGGCCCTCCAGGGGATGGGTGGGCATCATTGTGAGGAAGAATCATGTGAGTGCGAACCGAGTCGGGGGCTCCCAGCAAAAGCAAACCGGGGAAGGGTGCATCTGCAGCATCCTGCCTCCCCGCCACTGTCAATGTCACCTGGATTCTGAGGCCCCCCCAGCACACACACACACAGACACACCCGGGGAGGGACAGAGGTTGGGCTCTGTGGTGCGTGCTGGGCTCACCTTTAATGACACATCTCCGTGGGCAAGAGAGTTTACACATTGCTACTGTTCTTTTCCTACGTGTTTGTTTTAAAGTAAGGCTCTTTTTAAGGCTGTGTTTTCTCACATCTGAGCGAACTCTGCTCCACGGGTGAACAGGGATTTTGGTCGCGCGTCTGTCAGAAAGGATCATCTCAGGGGCTCCAAACGCAGGCTGTTCCAACCAGGGTGGGTTAAGTGTGAGTCTGCAGTGGGGGGAGGGGGGGGCAGATGGTCCTCTGGGCCATGCCCTTGCTTCGTCTCCTTAGGGGGCCTCCAGAAAGAGGGCCGCTCCACATGGCGGCCTCCCTGGGCGTCTGCAGGCCAGCGAGGCTCAAGGCAGAGGGGTCAGCCCAGCCAGGGAGGGGGCTGAGGTCTGGGATTCTTGGGCGTCCTCTGAATCGGTTTTCTCGCAGGACTCTTGGTAGGAAGGCGTGTGCGGAAAGCTGGGGGCTGCTCTGGTGTGCGGGAGAAGGCTGCGGCAGCAGTGTGCAGAGGGATTATTGTGATTTCTTTGCTTTGGCTTTGTGACAAGACACCTGGTCCTTCTCCCAAGGGCAGCACGGCCGTCCCCACCCGCCGTCCAGCCCTGCCCGGGGGCCCTCCGGCCTGCTTTCTGTTTCCCCAAAGTTAGCGTTCCAACAGGAACAGGGATTTCATTTCCTCAGGGGTGCCCACGCCGCCTGTCTGAGGGCCATGAGTGGCAGGGCCCGTGCTGTGTTTTGGGAGACCAGCCAGCTGGAGGCACCGGGTCAGAAGCAACAGAGCAAGGCGGACAGTGCCTGGGGAAAGGAGTGTCTGCAGCGGCGGGTGCTTTGTAGAGTCAGGGTTTCCGTGCTGTGTGGCCGTGCCTTCTCGCTGGGCCTCGCAAGTCCTTACGAATGAGTCTCTCTAGAATGCACGCCCAACGTGGCCACCCGAGGCCTCTCACCCAGCAGCTGCTCCTTTTGCTGAGACCCAAGGGCTCGGAAGCCGGTGGTGTCTGCAGGTCTAAGGCTGAGCCGGGCGGGGCCAGTGAAGCCAACTGAGTGCCCCTGGTGGCGGGCTGGCCGGGCAGCCTTTGCTTTGAGAACGCAGACAGCTCAGTGCGGTGGAGAATCGGTCAGCCCACATATGCTCTTGGAAGACGGAAGCAAATACGTAAATTCAGGCGCAGCCAGCCCTGGTGAGATGGTCGCCACGTCTGCATGCCGCTTTCGATGGTGTCAGTTGGGGACCTGAAGTGCTAGTGCCGCCCCCTTGCTGTGGGGGCCGGCTCGTAGGGAACCCTGAGAATGCACTGCAGCGCTGCAGGAAGGCCACGGCTGAAGGCCAAGACAGAGCAGGCAGGTGGGAGAGGGAGCCGAAGGTGCCAGATTGGAAAGGACTTCGTGAACTCTGTGTGGAGGGACCCCAGGGCCCACAGGAGCTTCCAGAGCCACACGGGCATTCAGAGCCGCCGCCTCTTGGAGCTCTGGGGCGCTGCTGTCAGCGCCAGTCTCACTTCTCTGGACCCTGGCCTGCCTCGCAGCCATGGAGTGGACGCTGGCGACCCTGTGGGTTTCAGGGACAGAGAGCCCCGTCCTCCGAGGAGCGGCTGGTGTTTCCAGCCTGCTGACTCTGTGGCTGGCAGCCCCGCGGATAGCCACTGTACCAACAGGAATCCTGGGCAGCGTGGTGAGACTCTCCAGGGGCCCCACCTTCCCTGGCAGCTCCCTGCTGCTCCTCTCTGGCGGGCTTTTTCCGGGTTTGAGGATCTACGAGGAGGCAGCTTAAACAAAAGCTCTGCTGTTGTCTGCAGCAACCAGGTGCCACCTGGTGTTTGTGCGGGCGAGGCTTAGCCTGTCACTCCCAGGACCTGGCAGGACAGGCTGCCGCCCCTGAAAATCCCATGGCCTGGAGCTGTGGCTGCCGGCCCGATTTGTGCCACCACCGCCTCCAGGGAGCTGGAGTGGAAACCCTGTGTCCCGAGCCCAGCGGGCAGCGCTGGTTCTGCGGCCTCTGACGTAGCTCAGCAATACCAGTGACCATGTCAGGTTTCACACGTCTTTGGTGTCTGGCCCCCTCCCCTGGCACAGCCCAGGGACCAGGGAGGAAGGGCTGGGCTGGTCCCCAGGCCTGGCCTGCTCCTGCGGTGGGCACCAGGACTCCTACTGGGGTGTCCCTGTCTGTCTCCATTCCTCAGACGTGTCTAAGGATGGCTGGGACAGGAGGACGCTGCGCACTCTCGCTGGGCAACCTCGAGTCAGCGTGTGACCGGCTGCGGGCTCCTTGGGCACGGATCCTGCCTGTGGCTAGTGGCTGCAGTGTGGGGAAGAGTCGCACACCTTGCCCGCTGGGGCCAGGGCGTGGTGTGGCCTGGGAGGGTGCGCCAGGTTACAGAGCAGCTGGAGGTGCTGTGGGAACGGCGGAGCTGGAACACAGGACAGGCGGTGAGCTCACAGACGTGCCCCCGCAGGGCGCCACCTGCCTTCACTGGGAAAAGCCACCTCTCTGCTGACCATGGCACGCTGGGGGTGGCCACAGGGGTCTTCCCACAGGCTGCCAATCGGCTGTGGGAACGGGGGAAGGGGAACGGATGGGGAGCAGGAGTGAGGAGAGGCCTTGAGGTCAGCCGGCGGCTCTCTCTGGAGCCTGGCCTGGCGCCTGGGGCTGGAGCTGGGGAAGGCCTGGGTGCACACCAGGCTCTGGAGTGCAGGCTGGCCGGGGGCAGGGAGTACCTGCTGCCTGCCCCAGCCTTGTGCTGCTCCCGTCCGCCCCCTGTGCCACCATGAGCCTGGATGCGCTGGCCAGGCGAGACCCTTAGCATGTGGGCTGCCAGCTGGCCCAGCGTGCCACATGAACTTGGCACATGGAAACCTTGGCTGAGTGGGCAGGCGAGCCAGAGCCGGGGCTGGAACCCGGCAGCATGCTGGCATCAACAGGGATGAGGCAGGACTGTCGCCCCCTCCCCTCTCCTGCCCTCCCCTCCACAGCCCCAGAGCCCGGCGGCCTTGCTGTGATGGCCCGGAACTAGCTATTGCTGGGCCATTATGGGGATGGGTGGGGGGGTGTTGTGGCCTCGGTGGTAGGGATGCTGCACGCCGGCTGCTCACAGGTGGGACTGGGCCGCCCTGGGTTAGGTGTGGACACACCACCTCACGCCTGTCTCTTAGCCGGAAGAACTGAGACTAGCCCAGCCTCTGCACCCCACAGCTGGCGCTTGGGGAGCGGGGCAAGGGCTGGTCCCTCGACAGGTGGAGAGGGCGGGTGCCGGCAGAGGGAGCAGAGACCCTGAAGCTATGGCCTGCTTCACTGCGCCGAGCTGGCTGTGCGCCCTTTGTTTGGTGGAGAATGCTGCCCATCTGCTGGGTCGCAGTCCCGGCATCTGCTCCCACCCTGGCCCTCGCGCTCTGGAAACAAAGGCCTGAAACGGTTGTGTCCCCAGGACGGCGGCCTGCACTGCTGGTGGGTGGAGTTGTCCCTCGTGTGGGGTGGCAGGTGGGTTGTGGGCACAGGCTACAAGGGCTCGCAGGGGCTGCAGTTGGTGGGTGGCCCAACAGCCCATGTTCTGAGGCTGACCTGGGGGCCAGGAAGGGCCCCCCCTGCCAGCTCGGCTGCATGTCTAGATTTTTGGCTGGTAGGATTTTTGCCCAAACTTTCTACAGGGACTGCTACTTGCCTCCTCTGCTGGGACTCTGAGAATTAAGGGCTCCGTCTTGATAGGAGTTCATGTTCTTACAATGGACAGCAGGTGCCCCGCCGCAGTCTGAGGACCCACCCGCAGCCAGTCGCTGAGAACGTGGGTGGTGGGGCAGGCCTCTGCGGGGGCAGGGTAGGGGCAATGGGGACACAGACAGGGAGCCCACTGAAGGCCTGGCAGTGACCTGGGCCTGCAGGACCATAGCAGGTGGGAGGGCTGCTGCCACCCCAGTGCTGGAATTACCCTGACCTCGTGAGCACTGCTGGCGTGTGCTCGGAGTAGCCAGCCACATCCCCAATTGGAGGTGGTCACCGCTACTTCAGCCATGTAGAGACTGGCTCACCATGAGGAGGCCGAGGGGCAGGTGGGCTGCCACCTCACTACCCCGGGCTGCGAGGATTCAGGGGATGCATGCTGAGGTCCAGTCTCCCCTTCCCCCCCCACCCGGACCGACCCCAGCCTGGGGGAGTGCTGGCAGCGGTGATTGCTAGCCTGTGTCTGCGGCTCTTGGACCCTGTGTCCTGCCATAGTGAAGCAATTCTGTGTGACGGGAGAAAGGCAGCTCTGATGCCCAGGTGGCATTGGGAGCAGCAAGCCTGGAAATGCTGATGGTGGGCACAGGCCTGGGCTCGTCTCTCCAGTGCCCCCGCCCCTGTCACCCTCAGAGCGGAGTGTGTGCATGCAGGGCACTCTGTGGATGTGTGCAGGGGTGGGGGGGTCAACTTGATGCCCTGAGTCGGCATCAACTTGATGGCAGTGCTTGGTTTGGGGGTCAGTGGGTGGTGTGGGTGTGTCTCGGCTGGGCGCCGCAGCGTGGGGGAGCCCTGACCTCTCAGGTGCACACTGACCACTCTGTGTCCATCCGAGGTGTGTCTGGTGGTCGGGATGGCTGTGGCGGGGACGCAGCAGGCCCGGCTGTGAGCTGGAGTTTACCCTGCTAGAGCCCTTGGGCGGGTGGTGGTGAACACTTCGCTTCCTGACTGGGGGTGCCAGGCTGTGCATGGGGTCGAGGGCTTGGCCAGCCGGGCGCTCCAAGGGCCCAGCTGACATTGCAGAGCCTCCTCCGTGCTGTCAGTGGAAGCGGTTTCCGGACGCAGAAACGCATCGTGGTGGAAAGGCTGAGGCTGCGTCCGGCTGCCCCCCCACAAGCAGCGAGGCCCGAGGGGTCGCCCGGCTGCCAGGCTGAGCCATGGTCCCTTTTCAGACTGGGCTGCCGCCATCCGCGTGGCTGCGCTGGACTGCGCCGAGGAGAAGAACCACGAGGTGTGCCGGGCCTACGACATCCACTTCTACCCCACCTTCCGGGTGAGTCTGCCCGGCTGGGCAGCCCTCCTCGTCCTCCGGGGTCTGAGTCCTCGTGTCGTGGCTGCCACTCAGCCCACACTGGCTGGTTGGGCAGGGTCCAGTTGGGCCCTGTGGGCTCGGGTGCCCCATGAGCCAGCAGGACGGCAGTCTGAGGGGGAGGCTCGGAGGACAGCCCGCCCTGGCCTGCTGCCACGCTGCCAGGGCCTCACTGCCGTGCTGTCCTCCCTCCTAGTACTTTAAAGCCCTCACCAAGGACTTCACGACGGGGGACAGTTTTAAAGGTAAGCACGTCAGCGGTGCTACTCAGCCCACCCAGCACACGTGGTTCAAGAGGCAGAGACACAGGGCCGGGTCTGCCTCCCACCCTCTGCCGCCGACCTCAGTGTCTGTATGCACCACCCACCACCCCATCCCCAGTGTCTGCCCCGCCCAGCCTCAGTGTCTGGCCACCTCTCTTGATGGGGCAAAGTGTGCATTCCCAGGACCTGCCCCCCATCTTGTGACCCCCACTCCAGCCAGTGAGTGCTGGGTCTGCTTGTGTTTGTCACCCCCCCATGTCGGGTGGCAGCGTGGCTGGGCCTGAGCGTCTCCCTGTCTGGCAGGGGGTGACCGGGAGCTGTGGACGGTGAGGCACAGTATGATTGACTTCCTGCAGAACAGCTCGGAGGGAAGCCGCCCCCCTGCCTGCCCCTCTCTGGAGCCCGTCCCGTGAGTCCCGGGTTGGGTCCCCTGTGGCATCCACAGAGGCCGTGCAGTGAGCCTTGGCTGCACACGGAAGCCTTTTCTTTTCTCTAAAAAGGCCCCAGGACGTCCTGTCCCTGCTGGACACCCACGATGACCGCTACGTGGCTGTGATCCTGGAAAGCAGCGACTCCTATGTTGGACGAGAGGTACTGTGTGCGCAGGCTGAGGGTGGCCTCTGGACACGTGGATCTCAAACTGCACCATCCCCAAGGGTCTCCCTCCTGCCCCACCCTCCCCAAGACTCACCAGGTGGGTCTGTTCTCACTTGCGGGGCTGGTTAGAGACTCCCTGTGAGCATCCACCGCCCAGGGGAACGCTCTGCGGCCGAACTACCATCCTGGGGTCACCGGGGAGTCCCGTGAACAACTCAGAGAATGCCATTGAAACCCCTCTCCTGGGCCTTCTCTGGTGGATGTTAGAGCCTTTAGGCCGGGTCCCTAGCCGAGCCTGGCTCTGCGTGTGCCAGAAGCAGCCTTGTCTGCCAGCCGGCCTCTGCTGCCCCTCCTCGCAGGGCTCCTCCTGGTCACTGCCACCATCTCCCTGGGCCTGGGAGGGCTCCCACACAGGGACCCTAGAGCCTAAGGACACTGCTTCCATCTCCCCTTAGACCCCCTGAACCTCATGCTCGACCCTGTCCCTGCCCTCCCCACGATGCTGTACATTTTATTAGCCATGGCACACAGTCCCATCCCCTGGTGGAGCATCAGTACCTCATTTGCATGGCCCCACCCATAACTGGCGGCATTTCAGACTGTGGGCAATAGCATGTCTGCCTCCTCACGGGCCACAGGCAGCCATCATAGACTGATGTGGTCAGGGTTCCTGCCCTGGACCGGCTGTGACCCGCTGTCACAGGGACCGTGAAAGTGCACTTGGGGCCCGACTGGCAGAGGAGAGCCTTGGTGGCCCAGTGATTAAGCGCTGGCTGCCCCCTTCCATGGGGAGTGTGCACCCAGGACCCCCTGCCAGGACAGCACGGGGACTCTGTGAGTCAGTGTTGACCCCTAGATACTCGGCAGCAGCTGTGCACCACCCCCTCAGCCCCCCGAATGTTATGTACAGAGAGGATGTGTCTGGTTGGTGTCAGCATGCTGCACTGTGGTTCCTGCCCAGGCGTCCTCCCCTCTCTCCCCCGCTGCCCACCCCCTTGCTGGGAGGGGCTGGTGTGGCACTGACACGCTCTCCACCCCCCGTCAGGTGGCCCTGGATCTGGTCCCCTACGAGGAGGTGGTGGTGAAGAGAGTGCTGAACTCGGACCCCGAGCTGCTCCGGAAGCTGGGCGTGTCCCACGTCCCTTCCTGTTACCTGCGCTACCCCAACGGGACACGCGGCGTGGTTAACGTGTGAGTGCCCACTCTGCTGGGGGTCCCGGGACTCGTCCACATGTGGAAACTTGTGGATAAAGAAAGGCTCCTTGTACCAGGAAAGCCCGGCGCCATCACCCAGGGGCACCCTGGCCCACCCCCTAGGTGTGATGGTCTGACCACAGTAGGGGCCAGTCGTCAGGTTGTATTTCATGTCCCCACAAGGCCCTTCAGCATGTCCTCCTGAGCTAGCTGACCATCTAAGCAGCATGCTAGCCCCTGGCCCTCCCTGCTTAGGCCCCAGAACCTGCGGGTGCTTTGCAGGTGCACCTGGAGGGGAGATCAGCTGTGACTGCTAAGTGTTGTTGGCAGTGAGGCTGGTCCCCGCTGCCCTCCTGGTGAGGGCTCACCCTCCCACTGCCTGTCCGGCCTGTCCATTGGGTGCAGGCCCCACCCACCTGAGTTCCCGTGTCACACACCTTACCTGGCGGGGATGGGTAGGTGGCCCCTGGAGGTGGGGTCGTCTCTTTCCAGCTTGGCTACCTGGGCCCCAGCCCTGGCCTGTTGAGCAAGGCGGCTAAATGAGGGTAGTGTCCGTCCTACTTCCCTCCCTCACCGAGCTGTGTCCCTTGCTGCCCCCGTCTGACTTCCCGAGCCAGCAAGCAGCCGCCCCTACAGAGGAGGGGCTCAGGGCAGAGCTCTCTGATGGGCCCACGGTCGGCCTGGACTGCTGACCAACAGAGCCCCTCCCGCAGGGGAAAGCCGCTCCGCTCCTTCTTCGCTGCCTTCCTGAAGTCGCTGCCCGGTGTGAGGAAGAGGCCGCTCTCCCCGCCGCCAGAAGAGCCTCGCGGAGAGCACACAGAGACCCTAGTCTGGAGGGAGTTTGACAGGCAGGTCCCCTTCTCCTTGGTGGGGGCCCTCAGGCGGGTGGGCAGGGTGGGCCGGCCGGGTAACGGCGGCCCCACCTCCAGGGCCCGGCTGTACACTGCAGACCTGGAATCGGCGCTGCACTACCTCCTGCGAGTGGAGCTGGCCGCCCACCGCTCACTGGCCGGGGAGGAGCTCCAGACACTCAGGGACTTCGTCACCCTGCTTGCCAAGGTGGGTCCCTGTGCCCGTCTCTGCCTGCGGGCCGCTGTGCCTGAGTGGTCCCAAAGCTGGGGAGGCCAGATCAGAGGCTGGCTGGGAGCCACTCCTGCTCGCCCAGAGCCCTCTGCTCCGCACAGGTTCACAGCCTCGGAAGCCCTGCCGGCCTCTGGTGGCTGGTGTGCCCATGCAGAGGGCAGCGTGGGAGCACAGCAAGGGCAGAAGAGAGGCGGTGTGGCCTGCGCTCCTAGTCGGGTGCCCCGTGGGCTTGTGATGGGGGGCTGTTGGGACAGGGCAGTTCAGGGGAGGGGTCGCCTTAACTGGAGTCGGAGCTGAGGGCTCTTGAGGTCTCCCAAGGTAGGAGGAGGGAGCCAGCCCTCGAGAGGCCCAACGAGGAGGGCCTGCCCAAGAGCATTGGGAAGCAGCTGGTGCGGGGAGGCTGGAGACCACAGGGTGGGCAGGCAGGTAGGGCCCTGAGGGCCTGGTCCCTGAGGAGGTGCGGCTGCAAGGAGAGGACGGGAAGGAGCGGGCCGCCAGGTCAAGAACAGCCTCCGGTCTGCACGCAGGTTTGGGAGGCTGGGACTGAACCTCCTGCCTCAGGAGCAAGTGAAGTGGTCTAGGCACCGGTGGGGCTTGAGGGGAGGGGGTTGGAGGGGCCCCCTGCTAGGAAGAGCCCCTGACTGGCTGGGCAGTGAAGCAGGAGGCCGCCCCCCCTGGCTGGGGCAGACCAGTCCCTGACATGCTCTGACTTCAGCCCTCACTTGGCAGGCCCTCTGAGTGGGTGCCTGGGCCTCTTGGTCCAGGAGGGGCAATGCTTCTGGTCCCCTAGGCCCCCTGGGGCTGAAGCTGGGCGTGTCACCGGGCTGTGCTGGGGTGGGGATGTGACTCCAGCAGGCAGCCAGTTATGTGGTCAGGGCATGTCTGAGTTGCTGGCCCCTTGGGTGCACACACACATCCCACCCCCGCCTGCCCCTCCCCTTGGTTTGTTGGAGGGAGAAGACACCAGGCTGACATGTGTTGGGAGATCTGCACCCCCGCCCTCCCGCCCTCCGTCTCTCTCCTGCGGTGGAGGGAGGTGGGGCTCCTGGTTCGCTGAGACGGGAACTCCGGCCTCTGCTGAGGTTGGAGTTGGAGATGGGGGTGGTCTTGCGGACTCTCTTCTTTCCTTCGGAGGCGGCTGGGGCGCGGGGACAGCAGGCAGCACCCCAATGGCTTTAGTGGGGTGCCTGTGGCCCGGCCACTGCGGTGCCACCATAGCATAGGTGTGGGCACTGAGTCAACACCTCCCCCAGAGCACGCCCTGTGTAGGGGGCACAGCGGGCAGGCGAGGGGCACAAGTTGCTGTGAACCAGAAGCAGCAGTTTCTGCAAGGTTCCCTGAGCACTTGGCCTCTCCCTCTGGTGTTGCTCCTCCTCTTTCTGGGCTGGTCACTGAATGGTACCTGCCATGAGTGGGTGGGATGGACGAGCTGGACAGTGGACTCACTTTCCAGCCCTTTGGGCGTCCCCCCTCAGGGATAGCCTCCCCCCTCACTCGCATACTGGCGCCCTGTGGCTGAGTTTGGGGCGGTCTGCCCAGGGGCTCTGGGTCCCAGCCCCCAGCGGGTGTCTGTGTGACTCTCTGCAGCTGTTCCCTGGCCGGCCGCCCGTCTCAAAGCTCCTGGAGATGCTGCAGGAGTGGTTGGGCAGCCTGCCTCTGGACAGGGTCCCTTACGATGCCGTCCTTGACCTGGTCAACAACAAGATGCGGGTGAGTCCCCGAGGGCACGCCACACACACCCACAACGCGCAGGCGTCCGCCCACACCTGGAGTCAGAGAGAAACAGAAGACGGGTCCTTCGGCTCCCCGGGCCACCCACGTAACCCAAGGCGCGTCTCAGGAGCCCGGGACCTGGGTTCCCAGCCTGGACTGCCTCCTGTGTGATCACATAGTGACCCAGACAGAGTCCCCAGTAGGCTTTTCAGCAGCTGCCCTCTCAGACAATCAGTCCCCTCCCCTCTCACACCACTACCCTGACCCTTTGTTCTGCCACTGAGAGGTCTGTGCTTCCGGGTCCCTGCTCCTGGCTTTGAGAGAAGATGATATCCTTCATGCTGAGCACTGCTAGCTCCCCAAGACCCAGGGTGAACTTCTCCAGTGAAGTTCTCCTCTGAGCAGGGCACAGTCCCACACTCTAGGGGATCCCCAGGGACAGGGACACCGCACCCCTCTCCCTCTGGAGTGCTTTTCCTGGGGGAAAGGCAGAGATCGCTCGTGGACCCACAGCCCCGGTCGAGGGCAGTGGTCAGCGTTTTTAACTTTAAAATGTCCTGCTATTATTACTAACTTTTTCAGATTTCTGGAATATTCCTTACCAATCACGTCAAGTGGGTTGGGTGTCAAGGAAGCAGACCAGAATTGAGGGGCTACCCGTGTGGCCTCTGGATGTTGTTCCACACCCTGACGGTTCAGGCTGGAGCTCACCCAGAAGCGCTAGCTGGCACAGGTGAGTTGGCCCAGGTGTGCCCAGTCATTTGGGTGGGTCCTACGCGTCACATCCAGGGCCCATCACTTCCAGTGCGGTCTGAAGGCTGAACAGGCTTAGTTTGCTGCAGAGCAGTGTTTTGTGTGTGTTTTGTTTTCACTGAGGAGCGCTGACCTACGCTGCAGTGCCTTAGAGCAGGCTGACCTACGCTGCAGTGCCTTAGAGCAGGCTGACCTACGCTGCAGTGCCTTAGAGCAGGC